ACAGGACAATTATTCCAGCAATGGATGACAGCAATGCTTGGAAGTGTGGGCAGGTGGAGAATACAAAAGAATCCATGCCACCTTGGTTGTCACAAAGGCTCTGCACGTGGGACACAGGAATGGGTATGCCCACTGGCTGACAGGGAAGGAGCCATCTCAAGTAAGATCCACAGTGGAGCCCGTCCTGCAAGGAAGGTGTTTGTGACCAGAGGGCCCAGGCCGCCTATCACTCTCTCCAACTCTGAATTCCTGAGCCCAGATCATGGAGGCTTGAAAAGACAGCGCCTTATCAGCACCAGCAGCCTCGCTTTCTGCCTCTAGGGGAGGGCGCAGAGAGGAAAACAGAAGCAGGGGAGGGATTGCTGGGGCACCCAACGTGAGGACAGCAGGGCACTTGTCCACCAAGCCTTTTCCTAGGAGGAAAACACAGTCCACCGGAACCAGGAGCTGGGCCCAGCCTGCTTTGTCAAACACGGGGGTCGTTTTGCTCTCTGTGATGGCTCAACCTCCTCGAACAACAAGCTCCTAACGGAGAGCCTGGCAAGAGAAAGACTGCTTTGGTGGTGGTGGTGATGGGGCAGCAAAGCCATATTCTCAGGCGCGCATGGGGCAGGAGGAACGGGAGAGCACGCAAGGCTTCATGGGTGTTTGTCGAATCTGCTCACCTCCCAAATCCCAGCTTTCCTCATTTTCTAATTTTTAGGGAGACCAGGGATGTTCTTTAAAACATATATCAAAGCGTATGTCAAAAGCCCTGTGGTTTTTACATGTATAAGGGCACCAAATTTATATATGTATATAAATTAATTTATAGGAGTCTTTATTTATTTAATCTGTAGCCCTGGGAATCTGAGGGCATGCTAGGTAAGTGATCTACCTCTGTGCTATACACTCACAGCCCCACTCCGAGTACTGGGGATTGAACCTGGGGAGTGCTGAGCTACATCCTCATCCCTTTCTAATTTTTATCTTAAAGCACAGCTTTACTAAGTTGCCAGACTGGCTTTGAACTTAGAATCCTCCTGCCTCAGCCCCCACAGTAGCTGCCATTTAAAATATGTACCAGCAAGCCTGGGTGGTGTCCTCTTTTTAAAGAGATAGGTAGATGATGGATAGATAGATAGATAGATCATTTGGATTTTCCATTATAAAAAAATTAACAAAAATTTTGGAAAAAATACTAAAATGTTAATAGTAAAGGAAAAACTAGACTCAGGACTGTCATTCAAAGAGACTTAAAATTCTGTTATATTTCTTCCCAGTGGAAAAGGCTGTTAAAAACAAAACAAAACAAAACAAAAAAACACCACAGAAATCAAAACAAAACAAGCTCCAGCTCTTGGTTTTGAGGCAGGTAGGAAGGCATCTCCCCCCGCGCCAGCACCCAGAGGAGATCTGGCCAGGGATACAGAGGGAAGTGAACTGCAGTGAACAAGGGGCCTCTGGTCCCCTTCCTGGGGTCACTCACAAAAGTACCAGTGGTGACGCTATCTCTACAGCTCACATTCAGATGGGACGCCAGCAGGTCCTACCTGTTTATCTTCCACCACAACCTGCTCCAGTTGCAGAGGGACCATGAGTGGAAAAGCCCACTGTGTGCCCAAGCGTGGGGCAGAGGAGAGGAGACTCCAGGAAGCACAGGGAAGGAGCACTGCTCAGAGAAGCAAGGGCGAGGTGCGCGGGCCTCTCCCAGCTCCCAGTGTCTGGGTCACAGTGTGGTTCTGCCAGTCAAAATTCAAAGTCTGTACAGCACGTCAGTCCCCATCAGCCCCCGTGTGATCGGCAGAGGGCAGCTGCTAGACAGGGCACAAATGTGACCATCCGGGCTCCTACCGCAGACCACAGCAGCTCTCCTGTTCTTTCAGGATGTGTAGAGGTGGACGCTGGCTGAGGTAACATTGCATATGAGGAAGCCTCTTTTTTAAAACCTCTATCCAAACACATGTCCGGCAGTCACACAAAACCACCACAGGGTTTATTCATTCAACACATTTCTTGAGCAGCTGTGATGTGACTGGACAGATGCTGCCTGAGCCTCAGCCCCCTCCCACACATGGGGCTCATCACTGCGAATCCAGCATGGCAGGCACAGGACCGCACAGCAGGGGCTCAGGATCCTGAGGCTCCCGGGGTTGGAGGCAGGGGAGACAGGCTCTGAAAAGGGAGATAACTGCTGACAGAGGGGAGCTTCTCCCAACTATTATGGGACAAAAGGACTAAGGGCCAAACGCTCTGGATCCTGAATCCAACTCCTATAAAGGTCATTTCTGACAGCTAAGTGTGTCTGAGTACCGACAGGTGACACTAAAGAATTATTGCTGATTCTGTGACGTGCAATAATGGCATTGGGGTTTGCAAATGCATCTCCTTTTTAAAAGAGACATACACTACTTTACACAAGATGAAAAGGACATAGCACCAGAGATCCCCTCTAAGTATTTCAGGAAGAACAGAGGGAAAGGAAAGAGCAAAGAGGGAGCCAGCAGGATGCGGTATTACCTGGATAGCTGTTGAAGCAGAAGGATGAGTATGTTGGGCTCTTATCCTGTTCTGTTTCTGAGTGTTTGGGAATGTCTGTAATATTGTTTAATAGAGGACCCTAACCGGCGCTGACATAAAAGCCTAAGGGAGTACACCGCAAAGAACAAAGAGGATTTGCTGAGAACCAGAAAATAAATCTGCCAGGCTTATGAGTGTATTAAATGCCATTTGGTAGTGCGGTAAGAGGCCATAATAAGTATAAATGCATAATTAGACTATAAGGCACCCAATTGCAAGTACAGTAGAGGAGTTGTCTGTGGTAAGCTCCAGACTGCTGAGGATGGCCGGGTTTTTCTGCTTCTGGTCATGTTCAATCTCCCTCTCTCCTGATCCCAACAAACCAAGGCAATAATCCTCTCCAATTTCACCAGCTATGCACTGAAGGCAAGCTTTCCAAGTCTCAGTGTTCTCATCTGTATGATGTGGAGAAGCCCACCTCATTCTGCAGGGGGCTGATGTGGGTCTCTGATGGTGTAAAGAATGAAAAATCACAGTATGATGAACAGTCTCTCAGCTCTTGTTAGCCCTCTGAGAGCTTCTAAGATTAGCAATGCTCAGCCCAAATCTTATGTCCCCCATACCACAGCCTCTCCAGCTAGAGTGAAGCTCTCCACTGAGAAGGCAGGACTTCTACTCTTCAGCAGTGGGGAGCGAGGGGACAGGGCCACTGTGGGGATGCAACCCAGAAGGGAGACTGGATATGAATGGAGAGAAGAGGGACAGACCTCAACCATAAGCACAAAAGAAATGAGGATCATCCAGGTGTTCCTAGAGGCTCTTGGGAATGGGCCTCCACCGCCACAGCCAACCATGGTCCTTAGACCAATTTACAGTAAAATGTAATTGACTTGGTATAATCATGATTTTCTTTTGGAAAAGAGGTGGACAGAAAGTCAAAGAAAAAAGGGGCTTTGATAAAAGTGATATATTGTTATAAAGATATGTTCAAAACCTTCCATAAAAGCAGAATCATCTTAAGGTCAACTAGCTCAAACTAATACTGTCCTTTTAGGTGATCAGAAAGGCAACTCTGAGAGGTGCAGCCGAGTCCCTGGAGGGAGGACTCTTCCCTCTATAAAAGCACTGACTCCAGCAGTCACTTGTCCACTGTCACCTTCCAGCCTTCACTGTCTATCACAACTGACCACAGGACAGAATGACCAACAGTGCACAGGTCGAACGGCATGCGTGGGCTACCTCTGCCAAAGCACCTCCTGATATCCTGGTGGACCGAACCTTTCAGAAGCTGGGAGGCCCCATCAGCCCATACCAAGGCCACCCACAGTTTCCTGCACTGCATGCCACTCTGCATAGCCACGGGGCAGCAGAAAGGGCATTGGGCTTCACACAACACTTTCCCCTTTCCCATCTCTAAACGCTGAGGGCAAACTCAGACTCTGGAAAGTAACTATGAAATCATGGCAAAAATGCCACAGGGCAGGACCCGCCACTCAGGAGATGCTGAAGAAACTCATCCTTTGGGTCCTGCAGAAGCTCAGTTTTTACTGTAGTTAAAGTCTCCAGGACATCAGCTGGACTGTCCTGGGGACCCCAGACCTCTGAGGCCTGGCAGAGGACACAGAGAGGTCACAAGGAACATGATCACCAAAAACCCAGAGAGCCAACTAGCTGCTGGCTCCCCTCACCCAACCTGGCCACCAAGGACTGGTAGGTGCCCTCATCCTTCATTCAAACCATGCAGACCACAGGCTGGGGCCACACTGACAACCAGATGTGCGCGCAATGACATAAGCTTGCTGGGCCCCAGAGATTGAGAGCCAACACTCTTTCTGCTTTAAGAACGCAGGCCCCAGAATAAACAATGTGGAAAGAGACACGCGTGTTTATTCTGATTTCAGTGCGCCTCTTCCCATCCAGCTCCCCCGGAGAGGCTGGCACGGGATAGTGTTAACCCCACCTGTTGGCCGGCGGGACCCCATCTTTCCTCTGGACTCAGCGCGAGGTGCTCCGGGGGCAGAGGCAGGGGCGAGGACACCGCGGCGACCCACCCCGGGCCGCCGGCCGGGCCACTGACGTTTGGCCAACTTGACTTCCTGTTATTAAGGAGAGACGGGACTAGGGACTGGGGCTGAAAGGACGGGGAAGGGGCGCAGCCCGAACCCTGGGGAGCGAAGTTTGGGGAAGGTCTTCTGCTCGGGCCTGGCGACACAGCTGGCGCGCCGCGCCCACCCCGCTCCGACCACTGGCATTTTCTAGGGTTAGAACTGCGGGGTTTGGGTGTCGGGGGCGGGGTGAGGCGCTGGGGCACTGCGGGCGGCTTCCATTATGACTGGTTGTTTCCGAGGCTCGGGCGGCAGCGCCACCTGCTCGCGCGTCCCGCGGGGAGCCGGGCCGGGATGGCGCGGCGCACCTGATCCTCCCTCCCCGCGCGGGTCCCGATCCCGCGGGGGCTGCGCGCTCCCCGACCCCTCCCCGAGCGCGCGCCGCCTTTGCCTTACCGTGAGTCTCGCGGGCTGCCCGCCCCCGATCGGCGCCTGCCGGCCCTCGGCCTGCGGGGGCGGCGGTGGGGACCTGTCGGCCGCCTGCGGAGCTGCGTGCGAACCAGGCGGCCCCGCGCAGGCTTAGGTGGCCAGGCGCCCGCGGCTCTACCGGCTGCGCTGGCCCCGACTGGGAAACGCCCCCATCGACCGAGCGACCAATAACAGGCCAGCCGGGGGCGAGGCCCCGCCCCCGATTCGAGGCAAAAGGCCAATAGCAGTAGGGCGCGGAGCCCACTCCTGCATCCGCCCCGCCCCATGGGGCCGGCTGTCAACGCCACTGCAGCGGGCGCACGTGGGCCGAAGCTCGGCCCCAAGCGCAGGGAGCGGCCAGGCGCTCCCACCCTGACCAGTCCCGGTCCGAGACCAGCCGAAGGCTACTGGGAGCTGGGCGTGGTGGCGCAGCGAGGTGGAAACCCCAATGTTGGTATTCTGGCGTCCTGGGAGAGGCGAGGGCTGGGCCTCTCTGCTAGCTCCTTGGCCCAGGCAGCTGGAGAACAAGGCTGAGCGTCCTCTTTTGGACATGAGGGAGCAGCAGAGCACTTTCAGCTCTGACTGCGCCCATCCTGTGGATCTTCTTCCTTGCTTTGCTTCGTGATGGCCCCGAGAAGTGGTAAACTGCCCTGCCAGCTACTAATCCTCGCTTGGATTAGCCTTGCTTTAAATGCAGTTTGTGAGAAGAGCAATGGCGATGCAGACCACCCGCTGCTGGGTGAGGTCTCCTGCTCACCCTTGTTCTTAGATGTCCCCTTAATGCCGCCACCTTCCCCCTTAGCTTCAGAGAAGACAGACCATTCACGGAAAACAGTGTGAATGACGTGGGGCCCCAGGAAGAGTGCTGAGGTCCTTTATAGACTGTGAGTCCTGTGGAACAGCTTGTACAGATGATCTGGTAACCTTGATCATGAAACAAGGATCCCCAGGGGCAGGCGCCACGGCTGACTCACCTCTTGGGCCCAGGGCCCATCATCACTGGGCTTGGCCAGATAGGTATCAATAAATGTTCTTCGAACTGAGCTTACGGGAGGGAAGAAAACAGGCAGGCTTGAGCCAAAGATACAGTGGCCCTAGGCTGCTGGAATTTCCCAGCACTGCAGCAACAGCTGTCTGTGAGACCACCTTCTTTTGACTGGCTGGTTTAGGGCAGCTTGCCCCTTTCAATTCTGGGACTTGTTTTTTCTCTACTCCTTCCTGGGTGAGCCTATGCCCAGCCTTCTGGATTTTCTTGAGGAAGTGACCTAACTGGGAGTTCCTGTAGCATCTTCAGAATTCAGCCACCTTCCTGAAGATGAGCTTTCCCCACAAAGCTGTTCTTGTTCAGTTTGCAGGTACTCAGCCAGAATCATCTTTTGGAGGGACAGTGCTACTTCTGATGGAACCCTGCCTGTGATGCCATCTACACATCATCCAAGCCTACATTCTCTGGCAAGTGCCTTTAGTAGCATCCTCTTTTACAGATGTGAAAACCAGGTCAGTGAGGTAAAACTTGTAAAAGTCACATGATTGGTGTCAGAGCTGGATCTGAGCCTAGATCTATCTAATTCTATAATTGGCATGTCTGGCTACTTTGTCTGGAGCCTCTATAGCCATGTCCATGCCTCTAGGGCAGGGGACAAGTCAGATCTGTTCCTGGAAGAATTTCTCTGGGCCTGGCCAGCTGCCAGTCCAACCAAGCATCCTGTTGAGCTCAGGTCTGGAAACTGTGAAGAAGAGGAGACCCCACTGGCCTGGTACTGACTTATTTCATGGTGATACAGGAACAGCAAGACAGTAAAGAACAGCAGGAAACTCCATTAGATCAGTCTCAATTTGACTTCACTGGACAAGACCTGTTGATAGTCAGCTGAACAGGAGGATCATATATTTGAGGCTATTCAGGTCAATTTAGTGAGATGTGGTCCCAGAATAAGAAAGGGACTGAGGATGTAGCTATGTGCACAAACCTTGTATTTAGTCCCTGGGCCCTTCACCAAAACAAAAACAACACAAAACAAAAACCATGCTGCTCCTGGCTTGGGCCTGCAACACCCATATTAGGGATGGAGATGGAGGCAAACTCCATTCATTTAACAAATTCTGCTAAGAATTATATGTGGCTCCTGTATTCATTAACTTACAAAGCAGCAGATGAATAATCAGAATACACAGTGTTATGGGAGCTGTATTATTTATTACTGTTTTTTTAATAATTCCTATTGCCTTATCTACAGAGTAACATTCTCCCTTCAGATTAGAACAAATTTGACACTGTTTCAGGAACACCATCGGCCAACCAAGTTTCATAGAGATAGCTATTGCTCTGCACAGAAGTTCTAGCAGCTCAGAAAATGAGAACCTGCCAATGTCTTCCCCAAACCTCTCCTCCTCTTCCCTTCTCTACTCCCTATCTTTGTCTCTCGGGGGGCACAGGTGAGAAACACCCTTGATAGGTGGGTCTGGGGCTGAGATTTTTCCTTGGATATAGGGCAAACGTGGACCTGATGGGAGTTAACTGGCTAGAAGGAGCTACTCTTTGGGACTCCTTGGGTCAGAGCCACTTGTCCCCTCACACAAACCATCCGGTCTTCGTGGGAGATGGGGAAGAGTGGTCTAGGATGTCGTGACTCAAAGCAGCCACCATGGATTCCCTGCTGGACTGGGACTGTGTCTGGGAGTTTATACAACTCAGGTCTTTAAAGAAAAGATTACACAAGGTTACGAGTGTGTTGGTGGAAATGTTATCCGGCCCCTTGTGTAATAGAATGAATAGAGTAAATGAATGAGTGAATGAATGAAGTCCCAGAAATGGGAGTACTCATGAGGGTCCCAGAGGAAGTAAGTAGCTTCCGAGCCTCTCCTGCCTTTTCTTGCTCTCTCCACCTCCTGATGCAGCAGCTTTATATTCTATATTTAATAACAACCTCTTCCCTAGCGTGCTTTTCTAGGCCGCTGCTTGTGGAGGCTGTCTGGGAGATGCAGATGGCTACTTAGCATCAGAGGGAGGGAGAGAAGGAAGGCCCAGATTCATCCCTAAAAATATCCTCATCTCACAGTAAAGCAAGGGGCCTCTGCAGCAGCACGCATGCCTGATGCCACTGAAGTGGCTCCAGCTGGCAGTCCCTGTCACCATCAGCCTCCTCTTGACAGTGTTCCCAGAGGGTTGCGGGGGCCTCAGGTCTAGCTTCCTTTCATTTTCAGTATAGTAATGTGCTTGAAGAAAGGTCAGCATGGAACTGAGTGGATTTCCCTGGGGCGACTGACTGTGGAGAGCCCAGAAGCCTCTTGAATTGTTTGAATGGCAGGGAAGAGAGTTGAGGATGCTCTGCGACCTTCTCCTAGCTCCTTTGCATTTCAGAAAGCAGTAAAATAGGGCCTATTGCGGTGCTGCCACCAAAGGCATTTGATCTTTCACAGGAGGAGGAAAGCTGGTGTCTACATGGAGTCCGGTGACCTGGTTACATGATGAGAAGAGGCTGCTCTGGGAGCTGTCTTTGGACAAGGACTTCATAAGCCAGGAAGTGGAAACACTGGGGCTTCCTCCTGGCAGATCAGGAATGTGTGAGAAGCAGGATCTCTGGGGCCTCATTCTGCCCTGTTATCATCCCGATAGGCCCTGGTAGGCACCCATTGTTCATGGATATGGCAAGGAAAAGTTTTCAAGATCACCAGGAACTGACTCATCAGGCCTGCCACACTCTCATTGGGTTTTCTAGAGACAGTTGGGGAAGAAATGGTAGCTGTCTGGGACCTGCCAAAGTCAGTAATATCCCGGATAGGACAAAGACAGGAGTCCCCTTCTCTGGAGAAGACTTACATCCTTCTGTCCAGCCATGCAGCCATCCATCATATATGTTAATTCCACAGACAGGTACAGTGCAATATTCTAGGAGATGTCATTGTCAAGAACCTAATAGCAAGACTCTAAGCCAGGATACCTGGGTTCGAATCCTGTGTGACTTTGGGCAAGCAACCAACTTTTCTCTGTGCAGCAAGTTCCTCACCTGTAATAGGGGAATAGTTACTCGATAGACGAATAGAACAGTGCCAGGGCACAGTAGGTGCTATAAAAGGAGGTTCCGAGTAAAAAAGAGTCTCTAAGAGGTCGATTCTGTAAGCAGCTCTAAGTCAGAGGCCAGCTAGTACCCAGCCTTAGCCCTGTGTGTATGTTACTTGCTTCAGCCACATTTTGGGACAGGTACCATTGTCATCCACACCTGAGAGGTAAGAGGAGAGCCTCTCAGAGAAGTGGAGTTCGGGGGTTCTGTGTCTTCCAGGAGCCAGCACAGAGCAGGGGGCATCCAAGGGCCTGAACTGTGCGCCTGCATTCTGTTGCTTCCCAGCTCTGCCTCCTGCATCTATCCAGGCTGTGTGGGGAGAGAACAGCTCATTGTCCGGGGACCGACAGAGCGCATGGCAAGACCTCAGGCCAGCTGTGAAAGATGGATGGCAGGCCATGGGAGCAGCATGGTGAGCACTGGAAACAGGGGACAAAGGGAACCCAGAATCCGAGAGAAGGCAGGGAGCCAGGAGCTGTAAAAGCTGCCTTCCTTCTGCTAAGCGGCTGCTCGCTGAATGCCCGCCGTGTCCCTAGCACTCTTCTGGGTGGAGAGGATGCAGGCAGCAGAGAATAAAACAAGAAAAGTCTAAAGTGAAGGGAGAGACCTTCCAGGGGACAGTGGTAGCTAGCGTTTGTGTGGAGATGGGGTCACTGGCGAGGTCCTCCATTCGCCTTTATTCTGGTTGCATTCCCTGGATCCTCTCCTGGCTATAGGACTGGACACAACTCCTAGGCTGGACCACCTGTAGGACCTCAGTGCTTATCAGCTCTCTCTTTCCATGTTCCATGTACAGTGATAGAGACCTATTTACAATGGGAGAGAAAGAGACTCCTGTCACCAAAGCGCCCCAGGGTGAAAGCTCAGTCACTTTTTTTGCAGTCCTCTTGCCTCTGCCCACCTTCATATCTGTAGGCTGGTTCTCTTCACTGCCAACAGCTCTCCTCCACAAACTTCCTTATCTAAAAGAGCAGATTCTGCCCCAGCATTCCAAGCAGGAGTCCTGTGAGCCACTCTGATTGGGTGGGGTCACAGGCCCTCTTGAACCCCAGCCATGCCAAAGGAATGGAATGTGCTGATTGTCTGGGGTGGGGGTGCAGGGCCTCTCGAGCAGGGTGAGCTCAGCTTCTGCTGACTGATGTACAGGGCTGTGTGGGAGGGAGGCAAACACCTGAATGAAAGCCAAAGATAGTTAGGAAGAGAAAAAGAAGAGTATATGCCAGACAGGCATAGCAGATGCATTGGCTTCCACAAATGCCAGTGGCTTTCTACTGTGAAACCTTGTGTCTCTGCCTGAAGGTTTCCTCAGGCCTCTAAGCAGGTTCAGCCAATGCCCAGAGCTGGGTGCAAGCACTGGAGATTTAACAGGCCAGTAGCAAGCTCTAGCCACAGGTAGGCGAGGGTTCCTGGACAGACATCCCAGTATCTTGGAGATGAGTTTGGAATCTCCATCTCTTCTCTGCCAGGTACCCCACAGGACTGGGCCTCCAGTGCCCATAGCAGTACCCTGCTCCCCAAAGGACCCTAAAGTGGCTTCCTTCCTGTCATTTCCCTGTCTCACTCCCCTAGCCCCTAACTAGGGTTTGCTGGTCTTACTTCCCAATAAACTATTTGCCTTGTCATTCTTAGCTCAGGGTCTGCTTTGAGGCCAACCTACCCTAAGACAGGAGGGGCAGCTCACCTGCACTGTTGGGGAAGAGCTGGTGGGCATTCAACACTGTAACCTCAGTGCCTATCGCACTTGGCAGGTGACAGTGAATGTTCACTGAAAGATGAAAAGAGAAACCATTTAAAGACAGACAAGTAACTAAGCAAGTGGTTTACACCACGCAACCACTCTTTCTCTAGTGGGCCTGCATCTTAGAAGACTCTTGAAGCTTTCTGCCTTTCAAAAAGTGTGGTGCTCCTCATCCTGTTATACACTCCCCATTCCCACCCCACCTCAGTAAGCTTTGCTCTAAGTTGGATGCATTTTGGAGTGGATAAGTACTTTTTAATTAAAGTTACATACTAACTGTTTTGCTCTTATAATCTCTCTTGGTTTAGCTATCTAAAGACTACCTAGAGCAGCCCAAGCCCAAGGGGCTCAGGAGGGTTGCCCTCCTCCTTGTCAGTCCACTGGGACATTAAAAACTTGCCCTGATGGAGCAGAGTTCAATGTGATCATTTCATGTGGTAGCAACTTACTCCTCTAGCACTTTTTGTCAGGATTCCTTTGCTGGGTGGTTGTGGGTTAGGACTGGCCGCAGGGACATTTGCATGGAGCCCGCAGCCACCATTCACTGAAGGGCAGCATAGCAGGAGTCTTGCAGCCTCTGTGTGTTAGTGTGGGGTGCAGCCAGGCTCCCGGTTCCCCCAACTGCTAAAGACCCTGCTTGGTGAAAGATGTAGCTGCTTCTAAGGGCAACTGCATTGCCAAGATTAGAGGTGCTGAGAACTGGCATGAATTCCACCACCGTAAGGGCTCCAGTTTGAGTTCCAGTTTGCTTTTGATTCACTCCACTGCACATCTTGATTCTACTTGGCCCCCAATCCTGTGGACCTGGTGCAACTTATGAGCCTCTAGTGGCCACCAAGGCAGCAGCCTTCTGCAGAACTCTTAGCCAGCTCCTATAATTATGTGAACCCTAAATTCTATAATACCCTATATTCCACATCCTGTTAATGTCATGCTTCCTGAATACCTTAACTGATGTAATAACTAAATAAAATGCTCCTTCTTGTGACCCTACAACAGGTCCATGTCCTACTTTATTCATCTTGACAACGGCACCACCGGAGGCCAATGTGACCCTGTGTGACACTGGGGAAGACAACCCTGAAGAGTTAAATCCTGGTAATCGGTGGATCCAGGATGCAAAGTTATACACCCCTCTCCTGAGCCCAAAGTGGTGTCACTTTCTCTAAAACTAATCACAAGTACGTGTCTCATTACCTACAAAAGTATCGCAAATGCAATAATAGATAGAAATGGGAAAGACTCTTAGACACATACATTTAAGTTCCAAAGAAATGGCAAAAACAAAAAAAGTGTAACCTATCCTCCCAAAGAAGGAAAAGCAACAAGGGGGAAAGAACTACGGACCTGCCAGTCCTCAGGCCAGTGGCTCATTGAGGGAACTGGTTTGGGCAATGTCCATAGTGAAGGTAGCCGATCCTCAGTGTACAAGCAATTGTGAAAAGAAACTTTACTGGAAGCAGAACGGAATGCAATGGTTGTTTCTCTGCAGCTTACCATGCAGCACCCTCTCGCAGGCCAACAATCCTTGACAGTCCAACTGGGAGAAAAATCAAAGAGGCGATTGAATGAGAGCTGCCCTGGGTGAGTGCCCAAGAGTCACAGGATCCCAGAACAAAGCAGAAGCATGGGCCCCAGTGGCCTTCGAAGAATGGTGAGAGGCCTTGCCCTCGAGGTTTTCTGTGCCCCTGAGGACCAAGAGAAGCAGCTCAGAAAAAGGCTGTGCTGCCCTGTGGGCAACTTGGAGCAGAGCAAATCTATATTGCACGGTTCACTGTGGGCAGAGAAGGAAGAACAGGACTGAGGGCAGATTGGGGAAGGGAAGCATGAGCATGAACCCCTGGGCTCAGCCGTCTCCCCATCCTCCTGGGCTCAGCCTTCGTGCTTGGTGCTCCCTCCTGTCTCCACCCAGGGCTGACCACTGGCACTCCCTTTCAGCCTGGGTGACGGTCACCATGGCGAGAAGGCTTCCTTATTGCAGCTGCTCCTGCCCCTTCCACATTCCGCAAACAGACTCACCCATGTCGCTGTGTATTTTCACATCCTGTCTGCTTGTTTCTTACGTGCCTATGACATCTTCAGAGAAGCACCCTATCTCTAAAATATTTTTCTTCCTTATATTAAAATCAGCTGTTACATTTTTATTCAAAGCTGTGCCTCGTCAAAAAGAACAAAAAGAAAAATATAAAGAATACAATCTGGGTATGATGGTATACACTTGCAATCCCAAGAAAGATCACAGGTTTGAGGCCAACCTGGGCAGGGTACTGAAACCCTGTCTTAAAATAAAAAATGAAAAAGGTAGAGGAGATAGCTCAGTCACAGAGTATACCTGGGTTTGCTCCCCAGTACTGAGAAAGTAGATGATGGACAGATGGTCTCATCATCCAGGTCTTTGTACCATTAGCACAGCAGGCTTCCTTCTAGCACAGGCTCCTGCCATGATCTGCTGCCACACTATAGACGCAGAAGCAATGAGGCTGACCTACCATGAGCTAAAACCTTCAAAACTGTGAGTCAAGGCAAAACTTTTATCTTTTTAAGTTGATGATCTCAAGTATTTTGTTATAAAAACACAATGCTGACTAACAGTTTGGCAGATAGGAAGCAATTCACATTACCAGTGTATGCGTCTATGAAATAATGCAGGAATAGAGGCAGGATGTGTGAGTGGTTAAGAGCCTGGGCTTTGTGGTTAAATCCCCCTAAGTTGGAATCTCAAATATGACTTTAGATTAATGATTCTCTCTGAACTTTGGCTTTCTCTTATGTAAAATGAAGGTGACAAACCTGCCAAAAGTTATCATAAAGTGATTACTAAATTAAGTAAGCCACACAAAACTCACCAAAGATGGCGCTTAATAAGATCACTACTTGTGTGTGTGCAGAAATACATATTTAAAATTTTTATTATTTCAGCCATTTCAAAGTGTAAAATTCAGTGGTGTTCAGTAAATTCATGAGGCAGTTCAACCATCACCATTATCTAGTTCCAGAAGTTTTTATCACCCCAAAGGAAAGTCCACCTCTGAGACAGGGTCACTCCCATTCCCCTCTGACAGCTGCTAATCTGCTTTCACTTTAATGGAAAATCATTATCATTTATCTTCAGCCTTTTTCTCTCTTAGTTTTTCCTGGTAGCTTGAATCATGGTCAGATTTCTCTCATCAGACAGAATCAAATGTGTAAAAGAAAATCAAAGCAAAGTTAATTCAAAAGCTACAAGACAAACACATAGAAATTACTGGACCCCTCTCCCTGATCGCTGCCCTGCCTCATATTTCAATGATGATCTCTCCCCCTTTCTCTGTGCTCTCTATGTCCACTCATCCAAAGCCCTATAGCTTGGGTACCACCAACTAGTCAAACCCATGTTCCACTCTCAGCCTGAGTCCTCCCACCTTTTCTTTCACAGAGGACACTGCTGACCAAGCGTCTCCCTTTGTTTCCCAGTGCCACTTGTCTGCCCCAGCTTCCCGCTGTAGGATCCCTGCTTGCTTCTCCTTCTTCATTTGTCCCGGTGATCACATCCGTCCTTCCTGCGGCACTGTCAGATGGATGCCAGTGACTTCCAGCTCTCGGTCTGAATTCCAGATTCACTTGTACTGGACCTTCCTTCCTATTGTTTTCAAGACATCAGCTCTGGTGTGGATGTGTGCCCTAAGTTGCTGTGTTGAAAGTTGAATATCCAGGGCAACGGTATGCAGAGGTGGAACATTTGGAGGGGACTAGGTCATAAGGACTCTGCCCTCATGAATGGACGAGTGCCAGCACCATAAAAGAGGATTTGTTATCTCTAGAGCAGGTTGTTGCACAAGTACACTTGGCCGCCTCTTGCTCTCTCCCACTCTCCCTTGCATCAGTATTGGATTTTGCAGCTTCTGGAACTATGAAAAATAAATTCTTGTCTTTATAAGTTACCCAGTATTTGATACTCAGTTACAGTTCCTGTTGTAACCTGATTTAGGTTCCCAGTGTTTCTTCTTTGAATCTACAATCGCTTTTCTTTTTATTCACCTATATCCTATCACTGTTAGAGTTACAAGTTATGTTTTCAAATATAAAAGTGATTGTGTCATTTTCCTATTTAAAAACCTCTACCTACAAGAAAACACCTTCATTTCCCAGAACATGCAGTATCTGTCACAAATGTACCCCGCTCTGTGTGGTGTGGATTTATAGGTGAAGCTGCCTCCGTTCTGGCCCAAGAGGTGGGACACATGACCTGCGGCTGAGACAACCAGGCTCTGAGCCCAGGAAATGGTTCAGGCCCATGGCAGAGCCAGTGAAAGCATCCCTGGGCTATGGTTTGAGCTTGGAGGACATCATACTTCTTTGCACTAGATATGAAGAAGTGAGAGCTGTTTCTTGCAAATAAAGGGAGCCTATGACCAGACCCACCTTAGGGAAAAGAGAAAATCCTCACTGTGGTGAGGCCTTTTGAGATCTGCATCTAACCCTACCAAGAGTGATACACTCTTTGTCTATTTTTTAAAAATGTAATCTAATACATGGCTGCCTCAGGTCTGTTTTGTTCTGTTGCATTTTTTGAGTTTGACTTTGTTTTACTTGCAAATCAAACTCTCTGCACATCACCCTTTAAGCCAGTGCTTCCTAAATTTTACTAAATATTAGAATGATCTGGGGAATTAAAAAAAATCTCCAGAACAAATAGAATTATTGCAGCTCCAGATAGAGGTGCAGACATCAGTAGTTTTTAAAAATTGCAGATGATTGCAATGCATAGCAAAATTTGGAATCTATTGCTACAAGCAAAGTAAACTGTTTCCTGTGGGCGTTCCCAGCTTCCTGCCACCAGTTTACCAGAGCTCTTTCCACACCGCGGTACTGTTCCACCTCCCCTTTTGGACTCTGAGCATCTCGATGGCAGAATCATCTCTCTCTCTTCTCTACTTTGAACATGAAGGAACAGGAACGCAGAAAGTATAAAAATGTTGAACGAACCGGTTAGGGCTACAACTTTTTGTGTAGTTTTTCCTTCAATGAAGATGGTACAAGGTATAAGAGATAAAGAAACTAATAGGATTTCGTAAGTTAGGTTAATAATGCAGAGTACCTAGTCCACAGTTAGTGCACACCAAGTATCAGCTTCTGTCTTCACCCTTTTGCTTGTACCTGGAGGAAGCAAACGCGCAGGCTCTCTGGGCTGGTGAACAGGAAGTGAGACCTAGTCTCTAGGAGGTGAACGGGAAGTGAGACTCCCGGGGACAGATGGCTTTTTGCAGAATTTCGCACAGCAGAGTGCGGAGAAGCAAACAGAGTATACTTTCCGGTGTTTCCTTTGCTAGGCTGCTGGCTTCTCCATGCTCAGAGAGTGGAAGAAAGAGTCAAGTGATGGGAAGAAGCTGAAGCAACCCCTGAAAGAGGCTCACACAACCGGAGATGGTCAGAGAGAGAGCCAGAGCCCAGGGCTGGAGGAGCCTGGCCCCAGCACTTGTCCCGCCTCGCCGGGATATGAGGGGAAGGAATGGCAGAGAGGAAGCGGGCCGGGATGGTCACAGCTGAGCGTGCTCCCGGGTTGTTTGCTTTGTGTGCAGCTGGTTAGCTTAGGTGAATTGTGTTCAGGTGGCTGCAAGGTTACAGCGCTGGGGTAGAGAATCGTCAGGTCCTAGTGACAGAACAAAAGGTTTGTAAAGTTCCTCAGCTGCTGCTGGCTCGCCCTGCCCACAATGCCAACAGCAGGAGGTCAGACGCTTTCAGAGCCACCCGAATAGAGCCTGGTAATTGGAGGGAGGCCAGATGAAGGACTTACTGTTTTGTATTATTCATCACATACAATTTGGTCACTTATAAAGAAACTCTTTCTGCCTGAGGGGAAGGAAAGCACTTCCTGATAGAATGCAATTTTTTTTTTTGGGGGGGGGCCCGCAGTACTGGGCATTGAACTTGGGGCCTTCACCCTGAGCTACATCCTCAGCTCTTTTTAAATTCTTTACTTTATATTTTGAGACAGAGCTTTGGCAAGTTCTCAAGCTGGGCTTGAGTTTGCCATCCTCCTACCTCGGGCCCCCCAGAGCGCCAGGATTACAGGGGTGAGCCACAGGAGTACGACTTTATAACAGGGTTTCTACTGGACTCTACTGGTAGAGGCTTTGCATTAAAAGTGTGTGCGCTTACAAATTTATCAGCAGGAGATTGGAGGACTCTTGTCCGTTTCAGAGAGAGGCGGCAGGCTTCCTACGAAGGATGCCCTTGACAGCATCACTCCCTCTCTGCTGCTGGCTGCTGGCTGCTTTCTTATCTGTAAGAGAGGGTGGGACCCTGGGCTGCTTCCTCTCTTCCTCCCAGAAACTTACACTTTCCGAGCTCCCACTCTAGGCAGGGAACTCCTGTGAGTGCTGTAGGGAGATAAATGCAACCCGATTAAACAAAAGCCAGCAGAGACAAAATTTGAGTAAGCCATTGGCCTCCCTGGAGGAATGTGTGGTTTTGCAGAAAAACTACAGTTATCCCTCAGAATTGGTGCCAAGGGTCCCTCAGACACCAAAACTGAGAGTGCTCGAGTCCGTTACATGAAACAGTGTGAGGTTTGCACATAGCCTGCCCCTGAGTACTTTAAATCGTCTCCCGATTACTTTTAAAGCCTAACACAGTGTGACTGCTGTGTAAATCACAGCAATACCGCATTGTTTAGGAAATCATGATCTCCAAAAATGTATGTGTTCCATACAGAAGTATCTTTCTCCAAATGCCTCCAACCAAAGTTGAATAGCTGCAGATGCAAAACCCGCAAACACAAAAAGCTGAGCAGTAATCAAAATCACTCTGTGCTAGTTGAGATTTTCACCGCCTCTCATTTAAGCACTTTAGTGGCTTCCTAATTGGTCTCCTTGCTTGCAATGATTTTTTTTCTGTCCTGTACACTGACAGAAGCATCTCTCTGAAGCCCATGGAAGGCTGCATGCTGTCCTCTAGCCCCACGACGTGACAGGCACTGCCACACTTTGATTCTTTCACCCATGCTCTCTTCATCCCTTGTGTCTTGAAACTCCTACTCACCCTTCAAGGCCCATGTTTCCCCTGCACCTGCACTTCTGGCAGAGCAAATGACTTCTGCTTCCTGTGCCTCCCTCACCCTTCCAAACATGCCTTAGTTTTAGCATTTATCACTGTATGACCTGTCTCCCATGATGCGGAAGAGTCAGATCGTCACTGTTTTTTGTTTCTGGCGTGTGACACTTGATAGTGCTGAATAAATGATTGTGAAGTCACGGGCTATCATACATGTGGAGCACACACACACACATACATCACTGTCCTTTGTCCCACAGGCCATAGCCATGCCTTGGGGGAATGCTGAGGACCAAGGATGGGGACGGTTTTTTCTCTAATATTTCAAACCCAAGGCAACAAAGTCTACACAGCAAACACTCACGTACCTGTGCCTAGCTTTGACAAACCTCATCATTTGCCATTTTGCCTCAGATATTTTTCTTCTTTTTTTCTAGGACATTAGAGTTAATATGCATTCTGCACCCCAAACGAATCCTTTCTTTTCCCTCTGAATTGAGCGTTTATCGCTCTTTGCATGTTTTTATGTGTTTACAACAAAAGCATATATTTTTAAATGATGTTTTATACTGTTTTGCATTTTAAGCATCTTAACTTGGTGTTGTTTCATTCTATATGTGTGAAATCACAACCTGTTCCCCGCTGAACATCATTGTCATGTATGTGGGCTTATTTCCAGGCTCACTATTCTCTTCCACTGCCTGCTTGTCTATTCCTGCACAAATTCCTTATCATAAGGGTCTTAGTGAGAGGTCATAGAGCTGGCAGGGTAAGTCTCTCCTTGTTCTTTAAAATAGCTTCAACCTTTCTTTGGCCTTTTTTCTTTCATATTAATTTTTGGATCAGCCCTTAAGGTTTGGCACATAGTTGCAATCTTTTCTATACTGGAGGCTGAGGGAGAACAAGTTTGAGTTCAAGACAAGGCTGGAAAGCTTAATCTCATTCTCAAAGGAAAAAAATTTGGGAAATTCCTTGCTTAAATTGATACATTAATGTAAAAGAGATTCTGTTTTTCTGGTGCTGGGTCCTGGTTTTATTTAATTAGTATCTGTTTATGATACATGATGAATATATTTATTGTGGTCCGGGGTCTTGCCATCCGGGGCCTGGTGCAGCCCTGGAGCGGCTCAGCTCTCCATCTGGGAGGGGTGTGGTGATGGATCAGCGGCTCATCCCCCTCCGCAGGGATCCTGGCGGCAGGAAAGAGCATCTGAGAGCTATTGCTGGGCCAGGGCAGAGCCCAGCCTGCAGGAACAGATAGGCTGCTCAGACCCCTGCCAAGGTCGGCTAACCCAGGGAGAGCAGGAGGCTGAAGGCTGCACTGCTTTGGCCTCCAAACACCACCATGGCAGCTATCACTGCCACCATCAGGCCTTCCCTTCCGACCCTGTGAGTCTCAACTTCCTTGCTGAGCTATGATTCTAAGGATTCCCCACATCACTCTGGGCTGGCACAACATGGAACACCACTCCACCACCCAGCCCGAAGCTCTCACAGGAGCTTGCTAGGACCCTTTGATGACCCAACATGTGCAGCTCTGAGTGACCCCCAGGCCTGCACAGGGCCAGAGCTTCCCTTGCTGTGCAGACAGAAGGAAGGCTGAGTGTGCCAGACCTGTGCCTTCCTCCCAAGGCAGAGATCACTTCCTGGAGAGAAACAGAAGGCTTTGGGCCACCCAGTGGGCTGAGCAGACTGCACAGAGAAGCCCTTGGCTGCAGGACTAGTTGTGACTGCTCCTTCCAGCCACCAGCTGACTCTGGGGTTTATGTGGGCAGGAACACTTAAAATCTGGCCCTCAAATACTTGGCAGAGGAACTCCCATTGTTTATGGGGACAAATAACTGCCACGCATCATGACACAGATTACAGACAGGGTCTCTGTCTTGCT